TGGGAGACGGGTGCTATCGGAAAGCACACTGGACTGACATCTGGCTATTCAGTCGAAGACCCTTGGCTAACAATCATGCTGACAAGTAGTTCAGGCCAGCTTTCGTACCCAGATATGTGTCTGACTTTTGAAAGGGTAACCAAAAATCATATCAGCAGTATTATTTAAGGATAAGCATTTACTTAATCAATGAAACATATTATCGACAGCAGTGTGCACTACGCAGGCTTACAGGACCGTTTTTTTTTAACTTAGCATAATTTCTCGTGCCTCTTTCCAGATCGAGAGCGCACTGTATCTGTCCAATAGCATCATCGTACGCTAACGAGCTTTAATCGATGCGCCCTGTGCTTTCCCAACGCGAATCCACAGCATTTGATTTCTCATGACTTGATGTAAAATTACCTTCCTCCTGGAAACTACATCTCCAATCATATCCGCACTTACCTTTACTTTCTTTTCAATCGATGCTAGAATAACACCGCGCAAAATTACCTGTACAACGCTGTTTTCGTTGCTTTTTTTCAGAGCTTTTTTACTTTTTCGGCGAGAATTCCTCGTTGGATAAAAGATTTTTCTATGTTACTAAGTTTGGGCTGATTATTGCTTTTGCTATAGTGCTGCTGGTTATTTTGTTCTAGCAATTCATTCTAAGGTGTCTTGCTCATTTAAACCAATTTTGCGGTTCTGGTTAATTATCGAATACTTTTATTCATTTATTTAGATATTTTTGGGGTTTTTTTATTCGCCCCACGCAAAAAACCATTTTTAATTGGCATGCAGGTCTAATGTCTTTGGTTTTGAATGCTTGGAAATAGACTCATCACACTACCCAAGAAATCGATATCTTGTCCATCCTGAGTAGTTTGCCTTCTCACTTTCGGTTTTGTACCATATCCTGACCCCAATTTACTTCCAAGAATTGGCTAAATGATGGTTAATTCGCTAATTATTCCTTCGGGGAGCTGGCGTCGTGTGTTAAACTGGTCAGCGTTTATTCAACAATGTAATTGAAATAGGCTGTTGCAATTATAAAAACTTATTTTGTTGTTGAGTCAATTTGTAACATTTTGTCCTCTCCAATTGGCTAGGTATCATGACAGAACAAGAGAAGGATTTATTCTTGCAAAGTGGGGATGATGGAAAAAGCGGCATTGCTTTTTTGCCAATTATGTGGGCAGTAAATTTGATTAATCAATTAAGGACGGAGGGAGCCATTCCCAACGCAACCAGTTTGGAACTACTGCAGGAGGAACTCAGAAATTTCCGCGGAGGGTTTGGGGTTGTGTGGACCTACAACTACCTTAGTGTTCCGCTTGCTTATACCCAGGTAAATACTCAACAGCGCACCCTGTCTTATGCACTACAGTTTTGCAGTTTATATTTAACTTTATTCACCTATCAATATGAACATGAAATGGGATAGTCGTTCCAAGTACACGATATTACGTTGATTTGATGAACAGACACCAGTGAAACAGCTCACACAGTGCAACACAGAAAACTTATTTGTCGATATATTTGTGTCGTACACCTGACATGGACACTAATCTGGCATTAAAGAAATCAGAGCATATGTGCAGGTGAATTCTCAGTTCTGATTATGACAAAAGTAGGTTACCGAGATAGTTAAATGACTGTGGGTCCAGTCGCGTCAAGTGTATTAAGGGAAATATAAGCAAACGCCTTTGAGCTCCCTACTGGTGCACAGTAGGGAAGGAGGGCATCGGGACAGTAGCATATTTCAAAAGAGGTTGTTTACATAATTGTAGGCGAGTACTCACTTGTTCCGAGCAATAAAATCACATGCGGTGATGCTACTTAACACGAGCCAGCAGATTAATTGACCAAAAAAAGCAGACAATGAAAAACCTCCTAAGGCGTTGCTGACAATTTAAAAGATGGGATATCATTTGTGGGATTTTTAGGAGGAGGAAAGTATGTGCAAGTTAGGACCGGCACGTTACTGAGAATGTTTGTGGCAAGCCAGGAGGAGCCCATCGCGATTGATATCTTTATCCGAAGGGTCACAAGAGGAGGATACCGCAGAGTCACGAGAGCATCCCGAAGAGCTGGAGATGAGACCATGGTACGCCCTTACTGCATACCGCGTCTGATGGTCAGGTGACGAAAGCAGACGA